TTTTCCTATTGATGTAATTGATGCTGGTATATTAATTGATGTTAATGATGAACATTCATTAAAACACCAATCTCCTATTTTACTAATAGATGATGGTATATTAATTGATGTCAATGATTTACATCTATAAAAACAATAATCTCCTAATTTAATAATTGATGTTGGTATGTTAATTGATTTTAATGATTTACATCCACTAAAACAACCATTTTCAAATACACTTATTGATGATGGAATAGTAATTGATGTTAATGAATAACACCCACTAAAACATCTATTTCCTAATTCACTAATTGTTGTTGGAATATTAATTGTTGTTAATGATTTACATTCTAAAAAAAAATTCCCCCTAATTCACTAATTGTTGTTGGTATATTAATAGATGTTAATGAAGAACATCTACAAAAACAATCATTTCCCATGTATTTAATTGATGTTGGTATATTAATTGATGTTAATGATTTACATCCACAAAAACAACCAACTCCTATTTCATTAATTGATGATGGTATGTTAATTGATGTTAATGATGCACATTCACTAAAACACCAACTTCCTAATCTACTAATTGTTGTTGGAATATTAATAGATGTTAATGATGAACATCCATAAAAACAATCCTCAGGTAATTCACTAATTGATGTAGGTATATTAACTGTTATTAATGATTCACATTCAAAAAAACAATCTCCCTCTAATCTAGTAACATGTGTTGGGATATCAAAATCAACAAAGTCATAACATTTTCTAAAACAATATTTTCCAATTACATTAAACTTTTCAGGTATATCAATTCCATATTGATTTGTATGTTTTTGAGTAAATACTATTTCCATTGTTATTTATTAGTTATTTTCTTGTTTTTAAATATTATGAATGAAGAATAATTATTATTTCTATTTTATTCTATTGTTATTTTTGTTGTCACATTTTCGTTAATAAAAAGTGATAATGGAATGTTATTTGTATTTATTTTTATATCATAATAGGATTTTTATTGTTTTTTGTTTTTATTATATTTTTTTATTTTAAATATTGTTTTCAATTTAATATTATCATTCTTCTTTATCGTTTTTCTATATTTATGATTGATGTTTATTTTAATTATATTCTTTCATGTCAACGATTATTTTTATTTAAATCAATTATATTTTATTTTTATTTTTATTCTTCATTCTTTTGTATTACCCCTCTCTTATTTTATCTTATTTTTGTTACTATTCATTTATTTATTTTACATTATTTATGTTTATTTTTATTTATTGAATTTATAATGATTTATTTATATGAAAACAAAATAATTGATTAATGTATTAATTTATCTATTGTTCATATTCAGTTAATTATTTTAAAGAAATAAAGTGATTAATTATATTAATATTAGTGTTGATCATATTTCTATTACAATATTTGATATCATTTAACACTATATCATTCTCTCTTTT